GTCTAGCAGGGGAACTGCATTTTGCCTCCATGGACACAGCACCTAGTCTATCAAAGTTGATTTTGCCTGGAGACCTATGGAATGCTGGCTTTAAGAAGGACATTAGCATTTGCTTGACAGTCTTCCCACTGAATACAGAGAATGTGAGGAAAGTATTGCTAATGGAGTTTCTTTATTGCTCTTATTTGTTATACAGATGCACAGCTCAGTTCACACTGCCGTCCCTCAATTCAAGGATGAATTTTAATCAGAGATAGTAGGAACTGCAGATGCTGGAGAATCTGAGACAATAAGGTGCAGAGCTGGATGAACACAGCAGGCCAAGCAGCATCATAGGAGCAGGAAGGCTGACGTTTCGGGCCTAGACACTTGAAAACGTGATGCAGCTCAAATGGGCTAGTTGCTAATTTGAACAACAGGTAGAAAGTTCCTCCCAGTCATTAATGTCAATGCTGTTGCACTTCAAGGACAGCTTCAGAATATCTCTGAAGCATTTTTTTTTAATCTTACCCTGAACTTTGGAGGATTGAGAAAACAGGACCTGGCAGGGGAGATGTTTTTCAGTCAATTGAAAGCAGAGTCCAATATGCTGTAGTTGCTTTACAGCAGTCCAGCCTGACTTGTACAGCTGGCTTCAAGATGGACAATATTTTAAGCTCACACTTACTCCTCCCACTAACCCAGAAAATGCAACAGGAGCATTGCAGGTGGACTTTCTCTGGCACTCTGTGCCCCTGATACGCAGACCATGGCCCACTGCGCTATAGGATTGTTGTGATGAAAACTGCTGTGTAATCAAGAACTTTTGTCGACTTAGAATATAGAACAGTACAGTACAGGAACAGGCCATTCAGCCCATGATGTCTGTGCCACCCATGATGCTATTCTAAACTAATCCCATCTGCCTGCACATGGTCCATATCCATCTATTCCCTGCCTGTTCATGTGTCTGTCTAAATGCCTCCTAAAATTTGCTATTAGATCTGCTTCTACCACCTACCCTGGCAGCACATCCCAGGTACCTACTATGTTCTGCATAAAAAAAACTTGCCTTGCACATTTCCTTAAACATTTCCCCCTCACCTTAAACCTATGCTCCCTCGTATTTGATATTTCCACTTTGGTAAAAAGACTCTGAGTACTCATCCTATCCATGCCTCTCAAAATTTTATATACTTCTATCAGGTCATCCCTTATCCTCTGACACTCTAATGAAAACAAACCAAGTTTGTCCAACCTCTCTTTATAATTAATACACTCCAATCAGGACAACATCCTGGTAAACCTCTGCTTTATCCTCTCGAAAGCCTTCACAATCTTCCTATAATGTGGTGACCAGAACCGCACACAGTACTCCAAATGCGGCCTGACCAAAGTCTTATACAGTTGTAATATGACTTGCCGACTTTTGTACTCAATGTCCCAACCAATGTAGGCAAGCATGCCATATGCCTTCTTTACCAGCTTATCCACTTGCATTGACATGTGTGGACTTCAAGATCTCTCCGTATATTGGTTCTGCTAAGGGTCCTGCCAATCACACTATACATTCCTCTTACCTTTGACCTCCCAAAATGCATCACCTCACATTTGTCCCAATTAAATTCCATTTGCCATTTCTCCACCCAACTTTCAAGCTGATCTATATCCTGCTGCATCCTTTGATATTCTTCCTCACTATCCACAACTCAATTTTTGCGTCACAAGCAAAAACAAAGTTGCTGGAAAAGATCAGCAGGTCTGGCAGCATCTGTGAAGAAAAAATCCAAGTTAACATTTCAGGTCCGATGACCCTTCCTCAGAACTGATGGTGGCTGGGAAAATGTCAGTTTATATGCAGAAAAAAGGGACGGGGATGGGGTAGGGAGTAAACGATAGGATAAAGCCTAAAGAGAGAGAAGAGCAGTTGGATAGACATAGATCTGATAACAATCAGGCTGGGAGGGTGAATAGTTGTTAATGGGGACTGTTAGTGACTAACAACAGGGGGTGTGTAGTGGCAGGCTATGTGGTAACAAGGCCTGGTGTGTGGGTTAGGGGGCTGGGACATGGGAGAGTTTAGGCCTTAAAATTATTGAATTTGATATTGAGTCTGGAGGGTTGCAGGGTCCCCAGGCGGAAAATGAGGTGTTGTTCTTCCAGCTTGCGTTGAGGTTCGCTGGAACACTGCAGCAAGACAGAGCCAAGAGGTGTTGGCCAGGAAACAGGGTGGTACATTAAAGTGGCAGGCAACAGGTAGTTCAGGGTCTTTTTTGCGAGCAGAACGTAGATTTCTGCGAAGCGGTCACCCAGTCTACGCTTTGTTTCCCCAACGTAGCGGAGTCCACATTGTGAGCAGCGAATGCAGACTAGATTCTGGGAAGTGCAGGTGAAGTGTTGCTTCACCTGGAAGGTATGTTTGGGCCCTTGTATACTGGGGAGAGAGGAGGTAAATGTTGCATCTTCGCCGCTGACAGGGGAAGGTGCCATAGGGCTTTGGAGGGGTGTTGGGGGTGACGGAAGTGTGGACCAGGGTGTCCCGGAGGGAACGGTCCCTGGGGAAGGTGGACAAGGGAGGGGAGTGGAATATGTACCTGGTGGTGACCTCTCACTGGAGGTGGTGGAAATGGCATCTGATATGGATGCTGGTGGGGTCCAAATCATTTATATTTTACAAACAACAGAGGTCCCAATGCAGAACACCACTGGTCACAGATTTCTAGTCGGAAAAGCACCCTCCACAACTACCCTCTGTCTTCTATAGCCAAGCCAAATTTGTATCCAACTTGCCAACTTACCATGGATTCTATGCAATTTGATCTTCTGGACCAGCCTACTATGTTTAATGCTTTAGTAAAGTCTAACAAGTAGACAACATCCACTGCTTTACTCTCATCAATCATCTTTGTCACTTTTTCAAAAAAACTCAATCAAGATTGTGAGACAAGACTTCCCCTGTATAAAGCCATGCTGGTTATGCTTAAAAAATCCACTCTTCTCCAAATGCAAGTAAATCCAGTCCCTAAGAATCTTTTCCAATAATTTCCTTATCACTGATGTAAAGCTCCCCGGCATAAAATTTCCTGCTGCACTTCTTGAACAAAGGGACCTTGCCACTAGTTAAAAAGGAAACAAGGATCTCTGTTAAGGACCCAATCACTTCCCATGCATCCTTCAGTATCATGGAATAGATCCCATCAGGCCCTGAGGACTTATCTACCTTAATGATTTCAAGCCATCCAACACTGCCTCCTTCTTAGTGTTAACATGCCTTAGAGTATCAACAAACTTCTCACTAAACTTACTATCATCCATGTCTTTCTTCTTGATGAATACTATGTAAAGTACTCATTAAGGATGGCACCCACTTCCTCTGGTTTCACACAAAATTTCTTCATTTGTCTTTGAGTGGACTTACCCTTTTCATAGTTACCCACTTGCTGCTAAATTACACATAAAATGCCTTGGGATCCTCCTTAATCCTGGTTACCAACGATATTTCATGGCATCTTCTAGGCCCCCTAATTTATTTTTTAAGTTATGTTTTGCTTCCTTCATACTCAAGGGTCCTGTTTGATTTCTGTTTCCAAAACCTTATAAAGGCTTCCTTTTTCTTTTTAACTGAACTTATACCTCTCATCATCAAAGGTTCCTGAATCTTGCCATCCCTATCTTTCATCTTCACAGGAACACTGGTCCTGAACTCTAGTCAACTGGCTTTTAGAAGTCTCCCACATGTCACGTGAGGATTTACCTTCAAACAGCTGCCCCACGTCAATTTTTCTTGTGCATACCTAATAACTGTTGTAATTAGCCATCTCCCAATTTAGCACTATCACCCAAGTACCAGTCTTATCCTTTTCCATAAATATCTTAAAACTTAAAAGAATTCTGATCACTTCCCAAAATGCTCCCCCATTGAAACTTTGATCATCTGGCCAGGCTCATTCCCCACAAGGTCTAAAATGGCCACTTCCCTAATTGGACCATCTACATTTTGTTTCAAGAATCCATTCAGGATGCACCTAACAAATTTGACTTGAGAAAGTCTTTATTGTTAAACACAAACTGTTGTAGTTCAAAGAAGGCTGATCTGGTATAGCCTATCTGATCTTTAGATCTCCTCATAGATAGTAGTGTTTTGAAAGTTATGAAGTATTCACTGTATTCCAGAGTCTTCCCTTCAACATATATAGAACATGGAATATTTGGTTATCAGGTTGATATATGACTTTTGTTTTAGTAACATTCAAGTCCAAGCCATTTTTATTTTATTCAGAACTGAAGAAATTCAAAGTGGTTTGCAAACATGAAGCAGTGCTGTCAACAACAATGCAGCCATCTGCAAACTGTCAGTTAATGATTATAGTGGTCAGTTTAGTTTTGGAATAGAGGTGACAGAGCTTTCTATCGAGGCAGTATTTTGTACTGACCCAAGAGGCTCTTGATGTGTGATGAGGTGAATAACCAATGTCAGGTGAATTGTAAATAGTATTGGAGCTATCACACAACCTTGCTTGATTCCAGTCCAAATGTTGAAGGTGCCTCAGATCTACCACTTAAGGCTGTTGTAATTATTCAGTCATAAAACAATTGCAGGACTGTGATGAAATTCTTGGACATCCATATCGTTCAAGTACAACTCACAAGCACCCAATCTTCTCCATTTTTGAAGTCAGGTCTTCTGCTAGTGTCCCTATATCATGTCTCAATTAACCACGTGGACCTTACAGCTCAGAAACCCAATTTATCACTACAAATATAAACACATGTTCCAAACTTTTCTCAGACTCCTTAGCATTTGATCTGTTCCATCTCTACCACTTCTGAACTACACTGTATAACAGTCCAACTTGTCTCTCCTAGGCCTCTGAGAACCTAGGTTTCTTCTTGTTAATATTCCATGCTGGTATTCATCTCTGTCAAATTAATTTAAACCCACATGGACAGAATTAGTTCCACTTCCCTGCAAGGTCTCAGCTTAGATACAGGACATAAGGTAAAAGAAAATCAAACCATAATATGACACACTGTATTTTATTCTTCTCTCCATTGTAACATACATAAATATCTGAAGTTTTATTGATCAATCTCAGTTTAATCAAATATTCATTTGTAACAAATGTATTCATTTTATATTAACATAGCACAAGGTAAACAGCTTGATGCAGCTATATGTTCAAGTTTTCCATCAGTGGTGACAGCCCCTCTCAAGGTGCTTAAAATCTTTCAATTATATGCTTAGTAATGTCACTGGCATACAAGTCTTATTATGTACTACTAGTTTTTAAACATTGCACACAATAACTACAGCATTTTTGTACAGGACTCTTCCACTGTGCCGAATTTATCACAGAGTTAACCAGTAGCTGTAGTCTTCAAACAAACAATTAAGAATACATTCCCTCAGTCAGGAAATTAAATGACAATGCGTGATACAATATTTTTAGCCATTAAAGCAGGTGGAGAATATTTTTAATTGATGCAATATGAAAGAAAATATCAATAATTTATTTTAGAAAATAAATTAAAGTTTTGTTGCACTATTTTAATATACCAGAGTAAAAATTTAAAAAAGGCTAAAATGAGAGAAATGCTGGGAATATTAAGCAGGTCAGGAAGCATCTGTGCAGACAGGAAAAGTTAAGATTTATCCAGATGACCTTTTGTCAGCACTGGAAAAGCAGGAAACGCAACCTTATTTTCAAATTGCAGCTAATGACAATTCTGCTACTCACAATTACGTTACCTCTAGATTCTTGTTTCTTTACTTGGCCTGTACCATTTCCTTTTATCTTGCACAATCATGCCTTAAGGCATTTAATCTTTCCCACCATCCTCCCTCTCAGAACTCATACCTTTTATTCTTTCCTACATCCCACTTTCTGCCATTGTACTTGCTTAGAATCTGCTATATATTTTTAGTTTTAAATTCAAGGTCTGAGGATAAAAAAAAATTCAAATCTGAAAGATTTTTGTTCACTCTCCACAGGTGCTGCCTGACTTGTTGAGTGTGGCCAGCATATTCAGATTTCCAGCATCTGCTCTATTGTGCATTTGTCCTAAACAAGTTAATATGGATTTAATCCAAACCGAATCTGTATATTGGCAAATAATTTTACAACTAAAGTGCCTGAAAAAAAATAAATTATCACTGAGGGCTCAGACTAAAAATACATCCTGTCAAACACCAATGTCTTCAAGGTGGCTACAATCGTACAGATAATCACAAACTATCTGAGGAGAAGAGTCGGCAATCTGATCAAAAGTGACAACAAAACTGCTTATTCCTGCATTTGGACAGACAGAAAAGGCCTTGGACTGGTCAAAAGATACTGGTAAAGGACATTTCAGATCCTTGACAAAATAGCTAACCCACTGTAGCATAAATCCACCATGACTGACGATGAGTACCGTGGCTATCAGATCTTCAGCCTTGTGCGAAATGCTATTATTTATGTCACAACTGCTGGAATCCACACTGTTGAGATGTTTGAGTGAACTGTGCAAGTCTCCAGAATATTCAGCCACGGTATCAATACGATCTGGTACAGTGTTGCCTTTCTCTGCACGTTGCATAAGGTGGTTACATAAATAATTGAAAAACTCCTTTGCTCGAGCCTGAACCTGCAAAACAAACAGCACATCATTCAAATACATAGCAGAAACATTTTCTACTATTTGACCATCACCAAAACTAACTCACCATTATTGCTTTGATAGACCCAAAATTGAGACTACGTCTCTTAGCAATTGTAGCAAAGCAATAATCAAAACATATTTTGGTGGTAAGGAACAGCCAGGGAACTACAGACCGGTGAGCCTGATACCAGTGGTGGGCAAATTGTTGGAGGGGAGTCTGAGGGACATGTTTTACATGTATTTGGAAAAGCAAGGACTGATTAGGGATAGTCAGCATAGCTTTGTGCATGGGAAACAGTGTCTCACTAACTTGATTGAGTTTTTTGAAGAAGTAATGAAGAGGATTGATGAAGGCAAAGCAGTGGCTGTTGTTTATATGGACATTCAGTAAGGTGTTCCACAAGGTTCTGCATGTTAACAAAGTGAGATCGCATGGAATACAGGGAGAACTAGCCATTTGGATATATAACTGGTTTGAAGGCAGGAGACAGAGGGCAGTGGTACAGGAATGCTTTTCAGATTGGAGGCCTGTGACTTGCAGTGTGCCATAAGGATCAGTGCTGGATCCACTGCTCTTCATCATTTATATAAATGATTTGGATAGGAACATAGGAGGTATAGGTAGTAAGTTTGCAGATGACACCAAAATTGGTGGTATAGTGGACAGTGAAGAAGTTTACTTCAGAGTACAGCGGGACCTTGATCAGATGGGCCAATGGGCCAAGGAGTGGCAGTTTAGATAAGGGTGAGGTGCTGCATTTTGGTAGGGCAAATCAGAACAGGACTTATAAACTTAATGGTAATCTCCTGGGAAGTGTTGCCAAACAAAGATACCTTGGAGTGCACGTGCATAGTTTGTTGAAAATGGCATTGCAGGTAGACAGGGTAGTGGAGGTGGTGTGTGGCATGCTTGCCTTTATTGGTCAGTGCATTGAGCATAAGAGGTGGGAGGTCATGTTGCTGCTGTACAGGTCATTGGTTAGGCCACTTTTGGAATACTGCATTCAGTTCTGCTGCTATAGGAAAGATGTTATGAAACTTGTACGAGTTCAGAAAAGATTTGCAAGGATTTTGCCAGGTTTAGAGGGTTTGAACTACAGGGGGAGGCTGACTAGGCTGGGGCTATTTTCCCTGGAGTGTCGGAGGCTGAGGGGTGACCTTATAGATTTTTATCAAATCATGAGGGGTATGAATAGGGTGAATACCAAGGTCTTTTCCTTGGGGTGGGGGAGTACAAACCTACAGGGCATAGGTTTAAGTTGAGAGGGGAAAGATTTAAAAGGGACCTAAGGGGCAACTTCTTCACAGTGAGAGTGGTGCATGTTTGGAATGAACTGCCAGAGGAAGTAGAGGAGGCTAGTAAAATTACAACACTGAATGGGCATTTGGATGGGTATAATGAATAGGAAGGGTTTAGAGGGATATGAGCCAAATGGTGGCAAATGAGACTAGATTAATTTAGGATATCTGGTTGGCATGGATGAGTTGAACTGAAGGGTCTGTTCCATGCTACACATCTCTATGACTCTATATAATATCTTTCAATTTTCTGGTTATTTAGTTTAGGCATAATTATATTCATAGACTGCTATTAACTTAAAATTTGAACTACGCACATCTGCGAATGTATATTCAATTCAGTAGCTCGGGTTACTGATTGGCAGAATTTTTTCTTCATATCAGTTTGAACAACTGAACGTTAGCATATTTAAGGTAGGGAATCTTATGTAACGTAATACTGACTTCCAATTATTGAGGTCAGCAAAAACTTAACATGCAAATGTTAAAATAGGAATAGAGAACCCTCTGATTTGAGGTAGCAGTTTTAAAGGGTGGCAAATTGAAACTCAAACAACCATTTAAACCTTCCTTCTCACCAGGATCAAAATCAGAATAAAAAGCGTATGTCCATCCAGTTGGCACTCATTGCTCATTCATACAATCCACACTGACCAGGGTTGGAGTATTCTGACATCACCTATAATCTTGCTTTAAACCACTTTTGCAAAATGTGTTTAAAAAAAATCCTTTTGCTACAGAAGAATGACCATGCAATCCAATAGCTTTTAATTTTCTCACAAGCACAGCATAAGGTGATGGGTTTGATGTCATATGAAAATCATCAAAAGTAAAACTAGTAAAGGTTCTTACTGGAGTTTTCATTCATTTGCAATCTTACATGAAGCCAAAATCTCTCATATTTCTTATGAAACTGAAATCCAGCCTGAGGCATACATACAAATAGAAATAAAATTGTACGGTAATGTTGGTGATCACAGGATATCTCAGAAATGCTCTGCAATGATGAAGTGTAATCACTGCTGCAAAACATACAGAAACAAAACAGTTTGCACACTGCAATATCCCATGAACAGCAATGGGGTATAACCAGAAAATCTATTTCTGTGATGCAAGGTGAGGGAATGAATATCAGCCAGGAAATTGAGAAGTCATTGCTCCTCTTATTAACTGCCATAGGACTTTTTTACATTTACACAAGCAGGTAGATAGCTCTCAGATTAAAGTTTCAATTAAAAGATGCCACCTTTAACAGTCCAACACTGAGCAATCAACCTAAATTATATACTCAAGCATAAAGTAGAACTTGAACCCAAAACCTTTGATCCAGTGGCAAGAGTAATACTAAGCAAAGGCTGAATATAATAGGTCTCAGACAAAGCTTAACAAATACAATGCCTAACAGAAAGTGGAACAGAGAGATATATAAAGTGATCAAGTCCAATATTGCACTTCTTAGCAATACAAACACATCTTGCAGATCCATTAATTAATTCTCACTTCTCAACTAATTCGATGACTAATGGGCAAATTAAACTTTAAATAATTCCGAATCAATTTTAGGTGCATAGCCTACATGAATTTGATCAAAATTCTAATCCAAATCTGTGGGGTTTAATAGGTCTGTTCTAAATTAGGGATCCACCACATCTGTTCAATCAATCAATGACTTACTTCGTCCACAGTCTCTGCTCCTGGAGGAGTAAAAGCAGGGCACCTCTGCCCTGCAGCTTTTGCCAATGCTCTTAATTCGCTTAATGGTTTTCCTTCAACAATTCCATATTTCTAGGAACAAAAATAGGATTAAAGTTGTAAATATGTGCTGTAATGTAAAATTGAAAAATTTATAATGCACTTATCTTATTAACAATTGAATATTGCACTTTTGCTTTTGAAGAAATAGGACATCTAAATTAATGACTTCTTTTTACAAGTTCACTTTTTAGAAGTACATAGCCTCGTAATTTTTTTCAATTCGGCCTTTCCCATTATTAATTCCTTTGTCCACAGTAATGTGAACTACCTATGTACACTAACATCCTAAAATCACATCTTCCCAACTGAACAGCAAAGCGCTGCAGGAGAGCACTCCCTTTAAATCCAGAGTAGGAACTAATGACAATTGCAGAAACAGGAGCAGCAAGAGGCAGGCTTGCATAGTGACATCACAGCACGAAGAGTCACATCAGGTAAATATATTGGTAGGCTATTAATTTTTATTTAAGCTGAATTATACTAACCATAAATGAATACTAGATCGATTAACTCAAAAATGAAATCTGCCAAATTTTTTGCCCACTCACAACCAGTATATATGTCATCCTCATCGCATGCCTTTCATTATTTTTGTGTCTTTCCGCTAGTTACAGCTTGCCATCCTCAAAATAGCTCCTTTATCCCAACTCTCAACTAGTGCCAATCCTCTATACATCTTGTGTACTATGCCTCAACAGCATGCGCTCTTATTTTATTCTGTACCACACATCAAGCTACCTTATCAAACACCTTTTAAAAAATCTAGTATTAAGGATGTAGAAATCACTGCCCGAGTCTGGTAGAAGCAGATTCAATTATAGTCTTCAAAAACTTTGATGGCGACCGGTGGGACAATGAGACTCACCAAGTTGCTCTTGCGGAGAGCCAGCGCAGATATAAACAGCCACCTTCTGTGGTCTTAATATGCCGTGATTCTACTGGTCCTCTAGTGCTTCAGCTTTGCACCTCCTCAGTCTTCAGTCTGTACTGAAAATAATATACCTACACCGGAACTAACTTTACTTAATTGCTTCCCAAACTGTATCAAGCTTTGCACATAATACTTAAAAAAAGGACAGAATCTATTACTTCAAAATGGAGACTGAATTATGTCGAAAGGTCTTGTCTCAATGATCTCCCATACCCTAGCATTGCTTTCACTTTACTCAAACATTATACCCAGTTTACCTTTTGTGCAATACCATGGAGATTAAATGGCATTCAATAAACAAGAGTACATTACCATAAGCTGTAAGTTCGAGTGCTCATAGAAAAACCCAGGCTTTCCACAGAAAATCTGCATAAACTCATTGTAATTCGACACAAGCTGTTGTCTGTATGATCAAAAACCTTTACAGTAATACCATTTTACTACAGTTAACGAATCATTTATTCAGTATTTATAAAGTCAAGTGTTAGAATGACTATCCTTTGGCATATTGTCTATGCTACAGAGGCAGTTGTGCCAATCTCAAAAATCCAGTAAAGAATACTCATGGATCAAAAACTGAATTTATATATATTCAATAGATACTTCATCAGGGTTTCTAGGAAAGTTACTTACCTGCAGCACAGATGTTAGGAATGCTATTTGCATTTTATTTAAAATAAACTTACAAAGTGCAATATACAACACACTGTCAGAAACAAAGTTTGTGTAGATTTTCGATATAACAAGGTGTAGAGCTGGATGAACACAGCAGGCCAAGCAGCATCATAGGAGCAGGAAGGCCAACGTTTCGGGCCTAGACCCTCCATTTCTGATGGAGGGTCTAGGCCCGAAACGTCAGCCTTCCTGCTCGGCCTGCTGGGTTCATCCAGCTCTACACCTTGTTATCTCAGATTTTCCAGCATCTGCAGTTCCTACTATCTCTTGTGTAGATTTTTGCCTGGTTAAGTATAAACTTAAATGGCCACTACATGTTGATTTTCTCGTAATTTGCTCAGCATAGAAATCAATTCCAAAAATCGCTAAAGTTTTTGTATAATTTAGTATAACGCAGCAGACTGCATAACATTATGAATCATTTGAAAACTGCCTTTCAATAGCACTGCAATATAACAATGTAGGTACAAAGTAAAAGATTTCTTCCAATTTCAAATTAGTTTCAGGTTTTGCTTGCTTTTACTTGTAGTGAAAGGAGAATGCTTTTTGTTAGATTAATTAATATTGGCACGTATAAATTCAGTATAAAAGGAATCAAACAGAGAAATTATATTTACCAAAAACTGAAAATTACATTTCGCAGCTCAGGAATATTGATGTAGATAAATCTATATTAGAAAAGTAACACGCAGAAGCCTGAAATGTTCAAATATTTTAATTACTTAATGTTAAAAATTAATGTGATGATTTCATAAGATATCACCTGAACAGAAAGTACCATTCAGGATCTTGTATCTGAACTGCCCTACTTCATCCCATCAAGAGTGAAGAGCAACCAATTGCATTTATATACTTTAATGTTGAAAAACATCCCATGACACTTCAGAGTATTGTAATAAACACATTTTGACAATGAACCATGTAACAGGATCAGGCCAAATAACCAAAAACCTGGTTAAAGAAATAGGTTTCAAAAGAATTTCAAAAAAGATAATATGAATTTGGAAACGTTTAGAGGGAGAATTCCGGAGCTTAGGGTTTAAATAACTAAAGACACGATGACCAAAGACAAGACAACCAAGAATGATGTAATGAAAATTATGAATGCATCACGCCAGAATTAAATTAATGCAGTGTTTTTGGCTGATTGTATGGTAGAGGAAGTTACGGAGATAGTGAGGGGAAGGTTTGTGGAGGGATTTTAATACAAAGATGAGAATTCTAAACTTGATGTGTTGCTCACGTGAGAGGAAGTAATAAGTGATTGGGGTGGTATGTGTTATGAAATAAAACTGCAGAGCTTCAATTGAGCTACAGTTTAAGAGGGCAGAGGATGAGAGGAACAATCCAGAAACCATTAAAGTAATTGAGTTTAATGGCAATAAAAAGCATGGATGAGAATTCCAGAAGCAGATACACTGAAGCAAGAGTAGAGGCAGGCCATTTCAGAGGTAGACTTAGTTTATAACAAAGAATTGTAGCTCAAAAACTAGCCTGTAGAATTATTATAGCCTGACTCATATTTCATCAACTGATAAGAAATGTAGAACAAAGTTACTTTCACTCATTCCGTTCAAATGAAAATTTAAAATTTTCTTTTTTTTGGAGGGGGGAGGAGGAGCAGTGCAGTGGTAAAGAAGTAAAGCCACTAGACCAGATTTATCAACTTCGGCCAAATTTTGCTAAATTTCAAAATAGCCATCTCCCAATTGGATAATTTAAAGATTATAAGATAGGATCAAAGAGAAGTAGCTTTCCAGACCAACTGGTGTAATTGCTCAAAAATGCATCACCTTTCCCACTGCAGCAAGTGGCTGTTTAAATTCAGTATTCTGATCTCAGCAATTCTGCTTGCCAATAGCTGTTATTCTGTGATAGGAATCCATGTCTTTTTAAATCTGTTGTCTTAATTAGGTCAATCTCACTCATTAAGTTCACATACCTTCCACTTTTTTTTTTAAAACTTTAGATACAAATGTCTGTCTATCTGAACTTCAATTGTCACCTGAACAACTTAAGTTAAACTTTGCTGAATTATTCTTGTAAAGTATTGGCTATGTTCTCGGAGTCTACAGGCCCCATCACGTCAAGTTAGGTGCCTTGACTGAGTTCATTAAAACAGAGTTTGTAAAACGAACAGGAATAATATCAAGTTACAGGGAAGGGAATTGCAATAGTAAACAGAAAAAGCAAGGTTATGAGATTTCAGTAGCTGGACTGTGTCCTCCTGTGAAGCCTGTTTTTTTTTTCTTTTTTTTTTTGAGTGTCCCAGGATTATTTCACTTTGTTGTGGCTTTATCTTCCAGCTACATAAATACACTGAGCTTAAGCAGGACATAACTCAATAGATTGCATATATTGTGAAATTGAAATAATCTCATGTTTTTGAAATCACTTGTCAATATAGTTAAACTTTTTGTTAATGACAGACTGTAATGTTTTATATGTATTTATGTTTAGTACTTACTCTTTCTCGAAGCTTTGGATCACAAATTATTTCAAGTTTATGCCCACAAATGTTTTCTGATACAATAGCAGATGCAGTCTGAAACATACAGGATTGTGTTTACAAACAACAAAAATGCAGTGCATTATTAGCAAGTAAAACCAACTTGTGGAAAAGTTACATTGTTTATTATTGTAACAAGAGTGTTCTAAATAATTGGTTTGCATATACAGTAAAACTATTGTTTTGCCAGAAATAAAAACACAGCAAATTCCTTTTTGATGGCAAGTTCAGTTTTCCAAGAACTGTTGACGCACATCAGAAGCTGCTCTTATCTAGTATTCACTTTGTGTCACCATTATCGATGAATAGCTTCTGAACCATATGCTTTCGAACTTGCATAACAAGCTTTACGGCACTTTATTCACTCCCAGGATATTGGACTTGCTGGTGAAATGAGAATTTATTGTCTGCATCTAAACTGCCTACAAGATGTGGGTTCTGTGCTACCTTCTCCAATTCTGAAGCCTTTGATCATAGAATAGAATCCCTACAGCGTGGAAACAGGCCATTCGGCCCAGCAAGTCCACACTGCCCCTCTGAACAGCATCCCACCCAGACCCATTCCACATGTCTAACCCACCTAAACCTAAACATCCCTGGGCACTATGGGCAATTTAGCATAGCCGATCCACCTACCCTGCACATCTTTGGACTGGGGGAGGAAACGGGAGCAAACCCACGCAGACGCAGGGAGAATGTGCAAACTCCACACAGACAGTCGCCCGAGGCTGGTATCGAACCTGGGTCCCTGGTGCTGAGAGGCAGCAGTGGTAACCACTGGGCCAACATGCCGTGTGAAGGGTTTGAAGCAAACCCAGCTACGTGTTTTCCCAACTCCAGGATGAAATCTGGCCTATAAGGTCACCATTTGAAACAAGAGAGATACTGCAGTTGAGTAGTTTATGTGGATTTCAGTCAGTGCAGCGCAGCTGATGTAGCTTATATGGATTTCAGGAAAGCTTTAGACAAGGTCCGACATGGGATGCTAATAAAGAAGGCAAAAGTACATAGGATTCAGATTAACTTGGTAAGATGGATCCAAAATTGGCTTAGTGATAGGAGACAAAGGGTGGTGGTAGAAGTTGTTTGTGTGATTGGAGACCAGTATCCAGAGGCGTATCAAAGGGATCACTGCTGGGTCTCTTATTATTCATGACACAAATGATATAGATAAGAATATGCGGGGGGTGGTGTGTACATGATATTGAAGTCTGAGGAATGACATGAAGATTGGCTGGGTGGTTATTAGTGAGGAAGGTGTGGACAGGTTGGTCACATGGGGAGTGACCAATGTAATTTAACCCTGAAAAGTGTGAAGCTTGTACTTTGGAAGAAGAATCTAGACAAGGGAGTACTCAATGAATAGAAGTACACTAGGACGCTCAGAGGAACTGGGGGATCTTGGGGTGCTGATCCACAGATCCATGAAGGCAGCAGGACACGTTAATAGGATGGTTAAGGCAGCATACAGGATACTTGCCTTGTGGCATAGCTGATAGGAGGAAGGAGGTTATGTTGGAGCATTGTGTACAGTTCTGATCACCACACTATAGGAAGCATGTGATTGCACTGAAGGGGATGCAGAGGAGATTCATCCGGAAGTGCCTGGGATTTTAGCTACGATGAGAGTTTGATTTGACGCAGGTTGTATTCTTTACAGCAGAAAAGGCTGAGGAAAGGACCTGATTGAGGTGCAGAAGATTATGAGGGGCATGGACAAAGTAGATAGGTAGCTGTTCTTCTCTTTAGATGAAGAGTTAATACTGAGGTACATAATTTTAGGGTGAAGGGCAGAAGGTTTATAGGGAATTTGAGGAAATGTTCACCCAGAGGGGGATGGAAATCTGGAATGCACGACCTGGGAAAGTAGCAGAGGCAGGAAACCTCAACCTTTAAAAAAGGTATGTGAATGAGCACTTGAAATGCCACATCACCCAACACTAGGGGCCATGTGCCGAAAAGTGGGATTAGTGTAGATAGGTCAGGGCAGAATTGATGGACCCAAAGGCCTCTTCTGTGCTGTATGACTCTGTGATTCATGTTCTCAAGTTCTGAAAAAGATTCCACATACATTTCTAGATGCTGAAGGTGTTCTTATTACAGTAGCTGCAGTTTTAACATTTCAAGGTTCAATAACTTACTTTCCTGAAACAGTTAATACTGTAATTAGCCAATTTCCTAACATGTTGCATTTTAGTCTAATTTATAATACAGTAATGGCTATAAAATTAACAACTTCTTGAAACAGAAAGAAAGTAAAACACACCTG